GGACAGTTAGTCGTATTTCCGAGGGTGTGAAAAGTGATGCAAATTTAGAATCGCCCAAGAAAAAGCGGAGTTATATTAAACGTGTAACCAACACAGCGACATTGGATACAAGTGCCATTCGAGAAGTGATCTATAATATGTATCACAAAAGTAAGATCTTATTATAATAACTTATCAGAAATTTGCATTAATTTGTTAACTAAATTATAATGTCATATTACACATGGTTTCAGAAGAACAAGTTACGATACAAACTTTATGGTCTCGATTAAGAGATAGGGCATTATTTGATGGTAGTGCCACGTCTTTAAGGCGGTTGCTTAGAGATCTTGGATTTAAGTGGCTTAAGGACAATCCGCGACGAGGGCTCATGGAACTACCAAGTATAGCTTTGAAAAGGGTTGAATTTCTAAGGCAATACAATCAAGCCAAGGTTGAGGCCTTATACCAGTTTGTCTTCCTCGATGAAACTTGGATATTTCAAAATGGGACCATAGGTCGCTCTTGGCAAAATGGAAACCAAAAAAGCGTGAAAGCTATTAAAACAGATGGTAAAAGGTATGTACTTTTACACAATTTGCACTATAAAATTTAAAACTAATATATTTTAGATACATTATATTACATGCTGGAAATGAAAATGGCTTTATTGAGGGTAGTGAAGCGATATTTTCTTCGAAAACAAAATTGAGCGATTACCATGGAGAGATGAACCAGGACAATTTTTTTAAATGGTTTCAACATCAGTTATTAGAAAAATTGGAGAGTCCATCTATGATTATACTGGATAACGCCCCTTATCACAGCATGATATTGAACAAAGTGCCTAACAATGCATGGACAAAAAAAAATATCCAAGACTGGTTGACAAATCAAAACATACCATTTTTAAACACAATGTTTAAAACAGAGCTATTGAGTATTGTTGCTCGGTACATAATGCTTCTTAATTATATATATTTTGGTCGACAGTTTATATTTCTTTTGTTTATTCCTATTCTTAAAATAACTGCTTTTTTAGAAACAAACCACCTAAAATATACGTGATTGATGAATTGGCGGAACAACATGGGCACAAAGTTCTTCGTCTGCCTCCTTACCATTGTATATTTAACCCTATTGAGTTAATTTGGGGCATAGCAAATGGTTACTATAACAGACATATTGGTAGAGATGGTAACAGTGAAAAAGACTGTTTGGATATGTGGAACGAGGCTCTACAAACGGTTACCCCAGACATGTGGAAAAATAGTGTTCGACATACTGAGCAAGAAATTTTTAAATGGTATGAAAGAGAACGAATTTTTGATCGACCAGACATCGAACCTTTAATAATCAGCTTTGAGAGTGATGAAGATTCAGATTCAGACAGCGCTGAAGAAAGAAACTCCGACTAACTTTATTGTACAGAAAAAGCTTACACCAGTAGCTTACCTAATTTTAGAATGCATTTTTCTGTATGAATTCTGTAAAATAAATACCATGCATAAAATTTGGAGGACCCCATTTGGATTTTTATTCAGTACCTTTAAGCTATCAATTAAATATGGTAGTTTCATAGTGTCATCTGATCAATAATTGTCATACTTAATGATTATGCAAGTACAGATCTATAATTTTATTATACTATTATTTTTGTTCTCATTTGAGGTTAATATTGCTTATAAACCTAGATATGTAAATAATAAACTTTATTATTTTACAAAAAGTTTGGCAACAATGTAAATTTTTCAACACACCCACCTTGATGACGTGCACGCCACTTTGTTTGCCGTTGACTATACCTATTGACATGCATAAAATACGATGAGCACGAATGGCATATTTGTGGCGATTTGAAAGTTGTTGCACTTTTACTTGGGCTGCAGCTAGGCTACACAAAGTTTTGCTGTTATTTGTGTGAATGGGACAGTCGGGCAAAGGCACTTCATTACACCAGACAAAACTGGCCTGTTCGTCAATTCCTGGAGCCAGGTCAAAAAAATGTACAGCATATGCCATTAGTAGATTCGAAAAAAAATTTATTACCACCATTGCATATCAAGTTTGGCCCAATGAAAAGCTTTGTCAAGGCATTAGGTAGAGATTGGTCAGCTTTTCAATACCTGCGTCAGAAATTTCCAAGACTAAGTGAGGCAAAGGTTAAAAAAGGTATTTTTGTTGGGCCACAGATTCGAAATATTTTGAAAGATACACAGTTGGAAAACACTTTAACATGTATTGAAAAAACTGCTTGAAATGATTTCCGTCTGGTGGTCACTAATTTCTTGGGAAATAGAAAAGCTGACAACTATAAAATCCTTGTCAAAAATATGCTGTCATCGTATCAAAAGATGGGCTGTAATATGTCTCTTAAGATACATTTCCTACACTCACACCTGGACTTTTTTCCTGACAATTGCGGAGCCGTAAGTGATGAGCACGGCGAACATTTTCATCAGGATATTTCAACAATGGAAAAAAGGTACCAAGGAAAGTGGAATCCTTCCATGCTTGCAGGCTACTGTTGGACTCTTGGTAGAGATGCTCCAGAAACGATCCATAAAAGAACAGCAAAAAGACAGCGCATATAGTGATTCTTATAAGTATAGGAATCTTGTTACTATTTTTAACATATCTTTAAAAATAAAAGGTTTTTTTTCTAAACCGCAACTAATTTTTTTATTTCATTATCATTTTTGGATTCGGCGCCCCAAAATTAACAAAGAAGTGCACTTTTCCCACAAAATACAATTAAGAAACTAAAATTTGTTGTCCAGTGTAATTTCTATTTGGCAAAAAACCATAGACGTACCATTTTTCACTTAAAAAATATCAAAATCATACGCACGTCACTGTTAAAACTAAAAATTACTTTTGCATTGAAAAATATGCAACCTTATCAACTTTTACTACGTACTAAATGTCAGTGAAATATCTGAAACGGTTCTGAAAATATTAATTAATTTCCATTTTTTTCCTAAAACTTCAACACCCCGAGAAACATTTCTGGACCATAGTTTATTAGGTAAACTAACATTAATTTTTCATCTTATATGCAGGGGGTTTCGGATTTGAGCATCAAAGATCACTTGTTTAATTTGTTTTTTGAAATTATTGCAATCAAGATGTTTAGCAGTCGATGAATCGATGAATTGATAGCATTATAGGTAAAGCATTTCTGAAATAAACTTGTCCCCTATTCGCCACAACTGCACAAAGTTGAGATACGCCTCCAGGGCTATAAAAAGCAGACGGTTTACGGTAAACACAGCCTATCTGGCAGAGTTTATACTCCGCGCAGCCCGCGGAGTTGCAGCTAGCGGGAGACGCGGCGGAGTTGGAATCTGGAGAGCATAAACTTGCTAAATACCGGGATATATATCTGGAGAAAGGAGGGAGTTTACGGACGCGCTTATCGCTCAGAAAATTGGGTTTTATGTTTGCCGACGAACAGAGGAGAATAAGAAGATGTGTTTGGATTTGAAACAAATATCGTTCGTGTTTCTTCTCTCAAATAACAGCGCTTACATACAATGAACATGAAGAATAGGAATTGTGTATTGTGCATCGGAAAAACAGTGATAAAGGTCGTGACGATGACAAAAAACGTCAATAAATGAGAGATCCATGTTCTCATACATTACTTGATTGGAAAATAAAATTACTTGAAACTTATTGCCCTATTTGACTTGAAGACATGCATTTTCAAACTAGTTGATATTTGATAGCATATTTATTTTAGTTCGACTTAACATCTTCAGTGGTATTTATTTGTACCACCGATGAGCTGTATTATGTATTTTAATTAATAGAGCATCAACATTTTTTTAGGTTTTCAGTCACTTTATACAGGGTGGACAAAAGCACAGAATGAACGTTTTCTCGAAAAATTGTTATCATATACACGAGCCTCTTCCCACGTCAGTTGGTCCACTTCAAGATTTGTACCTAATAGAACATCTGAACAAATAAACAATGTGCGAATAAATGCGCGAAGTTAACAAAGCAACAATTGAAAGATTACCATTGGGTAACTTCACCTTTATTTTTTATTACGGCTGAAATTGTTTTGGGCATAGTGTTAACAAAGCTTTGGCAAAAATTTTGTGTAAAACAATCCCATATTTCTTGAAGCTTTTGTCTCAGTTCGGTGATTGTACGAGCAGGATGTTGTCGTACAACCTTTTTCATCTCGTGCCACAAAGTTTCAATAGGTGACAGATCTGGACAGCTAGAAACCCATTTCAAAAGTGGTATATTATTTTCTTCCATCCATTTTATAGCCTTTTTTGAGGTATGGCATCTATTTAGATCAGACGTTTCCAGATCGATGGATTGGTAGAAGAGGTGCCATTGA